TGCCTCCATAGACCTCTTCTCGCGAAATGGCGGAGTTGGCAGAGACAGCCTCCATCTTGGTCCCGCTTCAGATTTTCAAATGTTAATATCTAGAGTTTTGAGTTATCAATATTCAAACAAATTATATAGTAAGCATCAATAGAATGGTCTCTATTAGCATTCCAAAAATAAGTAAAAAATATTGAAAAACAAAAAAGTTAGAAAATACAATTTTTTTAATTCGTTTCTCCTAACGACAGGAAGTAGCGACGATGAACAAAAGGTCGCGTCCTGGATGGTATATATCTCGATCTATAATCCCTGAAAGTTTCATGTTGATATCTTTTACCGTTTTTGAGTTTAATCGAGGACAAAATGTCATTTTAATTTCAGGAAATGTCCCATAACTTGGCACCAGATAGGAATTTTCAAACAATCTCCCAGATATACAAAATTCATGTAATGACACATCTGTTCTGAAAATTTCATATAATTCCATCCAGTAGTCTTCGAGAAATCGCGTGCACAAAATTAGAAAGTCAAAAAAATAATAAAAAGAATAATAATAATAACTAGAAACGATCTCGTTGCGAGCAACGACAGGTCTTCCGTCCGATTCCGAAAAAACACCCAGTAAAATCGAGCTGAAAATTGATTAAAATATCTTTGAATACACTGGAAATTGAAACAGGTCACCAGCGTGAAAATTCAACACGCTATCTATTACGCTATTTGAACCCCTACTCTAAATTTACTTGTATGTACATGTAATTTTGCAACAGTTCATCTGACTTAGAATTATGAAAGGCGAGTCACTATTCATAATTATGCGCCAAACGCCACGAGTACTAGTAAATCTTCGTGCCTTCTCTTTGGAATGTTCTATAAAATAGGTGTGATAGCTACAATGAAATAAAAAAAATAGAACGTTCTTATCGCGTAAATTTCGAGGTTTAGAAAGTATATTTAACGCATTCTACACATTAAATATCGTATCTATGTGAGTAAAACTAAAGCAGTGAAACGACTATTAATTTGTAACTTTTGTTTATTTCCTGTTTATCCCCAAAGTGGACTCTCCCGATTAGTTACACTTTAATGAAAGGGGTAGAATGTTTCGGCAAAAAACATGTCTTGCACTATGACAGTCAATTTATGTTCAATGACTTGCATCAGATCTGTGAGAAAAAAGTGTATAAAAACTTCTTTAACCGCTCCTTTAAAAAAGTATTCTTATCTGTATCTTTCCTGTTAGTTTAATATGACACAATTAAGTGTGCATAGAAAAAACATTGATTACGTTTTAAACTCTCTATAAATTGTTTCTTATAAAAAAAATACTTATAACTATGCTTTGAATCTGTTTTCCGTGTTGCACAAAAAAAGATATCGCATTTCATTTGTACATGTAGTCTTTTCTTTTTATGCTTTGATGATACGCCATAAACAATAATGGTAGAAGGCTTAAAAAGACCTTGGATAAACACTTTAGTTTAACACAGAATTGCAACGTAACTACTTCGTGAAAATCAACGTATCCATATACATTTTATTTATCCTTATATTACTTTTGTTCAAGCAAACGCTCAGATGCCTCTTTAATCCCCTACTCGCGAATTGTCGGAGTTGACAGAGACAGCCGCCATCTTGGTCCCACTTCAGATTTTTAAATGTTAATATCTAGAGAGTAGATGCATCAATATCCAAACAAATTATATAGTAAGCATCAATAAAAGAGTCTCTATTAACATTCCAAAAATAAATAAAAAATATTGAAAAACAAAAAAATTAGAAAATACGATTTTTTCAATTCGCACCTCCTTACGACAGGAAGTACTGACGACGAACGAAAAGTCGCGTCCTGGTTAGTACCTATCACTATCTATAATACCTGAAAGTTTCATGTTGATATCTTTTACCGTTTTTGAGTTTAATCGTGGACAAAATGTCATTTTAATTTCAGGAAATTGTCCGTAACTTGGCACCAGAAAGGAATTTCCAAAAAATCTCTCGGATAGATCAAATTCATGTTACAGCACATCTACACTGATAATTTCATGTAATTCCATCCAGTAGTCTTCGGGAAATCGCGCACACAAAATTAGAAAGTCAAAAAAATAATAAAAAGAATAATAATAATAAGAAACAGTACAATAACTATAAGGTCTTCCGTGAAGACGGAAGACCTTAATAAGAAACAGTAGAATCACTATAAGGTCTTCCGTGAAGACGGAAGACCTTAATAATAAGAAACAACACAATCACTATAACTTCTTCCGTGAAGACGGAAGACCTTAATAAGAAACAATAGAATAACTATAAGGTCTTCCGTGAAGACGGAAGACCTTAATTACAAATTGTCGCATAGGTTCACGTCAGAAAAAGGCTGACGCAAAATAATTCCTGAATTTTCCTCTTTAACTCGAGCAATCCTGCATTGGACAGGGCTGATGTTTGTTATGAGATGATAAAACATGTGTAAACTTTCTTAGTTCAGCGGAATCATGGACATTTTCGGCGTTATGAATGTTTTGTTTACTGTAGCGGTGAGGGCATCGCGCAGCTATTGGAGCGGATCCAAGGATTTATGAATGAATAAAAAAGATGGAAATAAAGGTTGATTTCTTCTGTATTAATTAATGACATTATTCATTTGCAAGTAATAGATATGTACAAGAAAACGCGAAATGCTAATAAATGCAGCTGAAAATCTTTATTTTCTCAAGAAAAAAAAATTTAAATTAAATAATTATAAATTCTACATACAAAACATAGGAAGAATGAATGATGGAAAGTTATCAGATGACATCAGGGGAACTGATTTTTATGAATGAAACTTTTAAAACGTTACCTGTACATTGTAGATGTTATATCTGCGAAGTCTACCTGTCTGCGCTCTTCCGGGAAGGGGGGGGGGCAGGTTTCTTGAATATAGACTTGTAAATTACCATTATTTTGTAGAAAGAATTAAGCCTTATCATTTTCTTTACTTTAAGAAGAGTGTCTTGTTATGTAAATGTCAAGGTCAGTTTATGTAGAATGTAAAAATTAAAGCCGAATTGGCATTCATTTCGATATGTGAGAAAGGTTGGGGATAGGTCTTTTTACAGTTCACAAAAAAGAAATGAGGGGGGGGGGGGGTAAGATGAACACATATAATATATTCAATATACACACTTTATTTACTAAAATCTCGTCTCAATTGAACCAGGGAAGTTTTTCTACAGGTCCTTTCGCCATCGCGTCAAAGACTTTACCTGCTCACTTATGTATCGCACAATGGGTTTTCCCCCCGCGAAGTCTATTTATGAGAAAATGAAATGAATATGTTTAGTTTTTAAGGAAACGTTGAACCTACGTTTGCAAAAGTTCTCAGATATTCAAAGATATTTAATTCCTTCTTAATCAAATCAAGAAACTGTTTATACGTAAAATCATCAAAAAAGGGCTTTAACTTTCACCATGAATATCACAGAAAAAAGAAGAAAGAAAGACAAAGAAATGTTCAAAATCGAGTTTTAATTCCCTTTTCTGTGACGACCGGAAGTATTGACGACGGAAAAAATGTTAATGGACAAATCTTCAAGTCATGATCTATGATATCTGACACAGTTAACTTTCATATCTTTAGCTATTCTGGAGAAATGGACCGGACAAAGGTCATTTCCAAAATTTGGTCAATACGAAAATAGTATTATTATTATTCTTTATTGCTTAATACATACGTATTATCACAATATTATTACAAATATAATTAAGAGAAAAAAAACAGATTGGCATGGTATGGTATGGTATCAATACATGAAAAAGCAGCGCCTAGTTTATTTAATGAAGTCACTTGCTATGGCGCGTCTATACATTAAATATAACAAATTTGACTCACATAATAAATGTAAAGAAATATACTGATATAACGATTGGACAAACGAAGAATGGATCACATCTTTTCATTTCTTAACTTAAAAGCTAAATGCAAAAATTTACCTAACTTACACAGCTCAGAAAAATTTTGTACACTCAATAATTGGACTAGTTTGAATGCGGATGGTTTTTTCCAGTAGTAACTTTTGATATATTTACTTCTCAACTCCTTGTAAAGGGGACAAATTAAAACAAAATGAAATTCGTCTTCTACGATATTTTTACAAACTTCACAAAATCTAAATTCCTTTGCAATATTTCTATGCCTGCCAGTTTCAATTGCAAGGTTATGGGAAGACAATCTTATTCTACTTATTTGTTTTTTTATAAAGATTAGGTATTGACTTTCTTAAATAATATTGCAAGGTTAAATAATCTACAATGTGTCTGTAAAAAATACATTTTGTTGAACAATTAATTTCTGCCATGAGATTTTGTATGAAATTATCTTTTATTCTTTGTTTGATTACAGGAAATTGTTTACAAATCATTTCTCTGTCTTGTTCAAGCCAGGTAAATCCGAGTCCATTCTCATAAAGTTTTTGTTTGATATTTACAACCCAATTATCAGAGTGTCTGTCGGAATATTCCCATTCATTGAACAAATATTCATAACACATTTTCAAAATACAATTGTCAGTTTTTAACAGCTTGAACCAAAATTTAAAAATGCGAAAAATGCGAACAATTTTCATAGGCAGTCTACCAGTTTCAACATAGATCATGGCAGTATTTGTGCTCCTTCTAACACCTAAAACATATTTAATAAAGTCCAAGTGTACTTTTTCAATATCACTAGCATTGTGTCCCCCCCATATTTCACAACCGTAATTCAATATGCTTGCAACATAAGTATCAAAAAGTGAAAACATTGTCTCAATATTTAGACACATTTGGTTGATTTTTGATTTCATCGAAAACATTGCTTTTCTAGCCTGGATTGCCAGCTGTTTTTGTGTATTATTACATTTTCCATTATAATTCAAAAGTACACCAAGATATATAAATTAGTCAACAATTTCAATTGGTTCACCATTTATGTTCCAAGATAATATTTTTAGATTTTCTTGCAGTAAGCTGCATACATTCTTCTGTGTGTCCTATCTGTGCTGTACTGTTTCCCAGTCTTCGTCGTCTTCTTGATTGTCTTGGGGTTCCAACGGGTCATACTCTGCTCCGTTAATGATCAGTTTGTTTTTGATGAGTCTTGCTGTCTTGTCCCGTAACCTAGCTTCATTCAGTTTTGGATATAGCTGCTTTCGCTGCTCATATATTTCTTTCGGATACTGTTCCTGGATCCTGTATGGTGTGGATGACAGCTTTGTAGCTTTTTTCCTTATCCTTTCCCTCTCCCTGAATGTGGAAAACTTAACCACGATAGGTCTCGGGTTTGTATTTTCTCGGTTAAGCTGTCCAATCCTGTGCGCTCTTTCTATCTGTTGTCTGACATTTTGAGTTTCCAATTCTGTCTCACAGAAATCGTTTATCAGTCTCGCACAATTCTCCCTCCTATTTCCATTATACTCAGCTAGCCCATAGAATGGTAGGTTATTTTCCATGCTTCGGCACTTGAGATCCGTGATAGAATCCTCAATATTTTTCTGGGACTGTTTCATTTGTTCTACTTCTTTTTCCATTTCCTCAGTGTTCTTTTTCAAAGTCCCCATGGTGTTCCCCATGTTACCTGTTATTTTCTTTAGATTGTTGATGTCCGATTTAAAGGTATTTAACCGTTGCGTAATTCCCGAGATTTTTCTATGTATGTCATCAACCTTGGCTAACTTTTTATCAATCTGCAATAGTTTGTCAAATATTTCATCAACCCATTTTGGTTTCATTAGGGATTGGAGAGTGTTTGGATTTGTATGGGCGGGGGGAGGCGTCATGAATTCACTTACACGAACCTGACTTTCTACTGTTTTTTTGTGTATCATTTCCTGATTTTTTTTTCGCTTATATCCATTTCACATTTCTCAAAACCATCTTCATCATTGCCACTACCTGTATTCACATCGTCCATACCTTTATTCGTGCTGTGTATTTCGACAGACTCATCGTGACCACTGTCCGCCATGACAGATGTAATCACCCCTTTGTTTGGACTAATATACGTTTTATGACGAACACACTTTGTTGGGTTACTATTTTTGGAATATTACAAATTGTCGCATAGGTTCACGTCAGAAAATGGCTGACGCAAAATAATTCCTGAATTTTCCTCTTTAACTCGAGCAATCCTGCATTGGAGAGGGCTGATGTTTGTTATGAGATGATAAAACATGTGTAAACTTCCTTAGTTCAGCGGAATCATGGACATTTTCGGCGTTATGAATGTTTTGTTTACTGTAGCGGTGAGGGCATCGCGCAGCTATTGGAGCGGATCCAAGGATTTATGAATGAATAAAAAAGATGGAAATAAAGTTTGATTTCTTCTGTATTATTCAATGACATTATTCATTTGCAAGTAATAGATATATACAAGAAAACGCGAAATGCTAATAAATGCAGCTGAAAATCTTTATTTTCTCAAGATAAAAAAAAATTAAATTAAATAATTATAAATTCTACATACAAAACATAGGAAGAATGAATGATGGAAAGTTATCAGATGACATCAGGGGAACTGATTTTTATGAATGAAACTTTTAAAACGTTACCTGTACATTGTAGATGTTATATCTGCGAAGTCTACCTGTCTGCGCTCTTCCGGGAGGGGGGGGGGCAGGTTTCTTGAATATAGACTTGTAAATTACCATTATTTTGTAGAAAGAATTAAGCCTTATCATTTTCTTTACTTTAAGAAGAGTGTCTTGTTATGTAAATGTCAAGATCGGTTTATGTAGAATGTAAAAATTAAAGCCGAATTGGCATTCATTTCAATATGTGAGAAAGGTTGGGGATAGGTCTTTTTACAGTTCACAAAAAAGAAATGGGGGGGGGATAAGATGAACACATATAATATATTCAATATACACACTTTATTTACTAAAATCTGGTCTCAATTGAACCAGGGAAGTTTTTATGTTTTTCTACAGGTCCTTTCGCCATCGCGTCAAAGACTTTACCTGCACACTTGTGTATCGCACAATGGGTTTTCCCCCCGCGAAGTCTATTTATGAGAAAATGAAATGAATATTTTTTAGTGTTTAAGGAAACGTTGAACCTACGTTTGCAAAAGTTCTCAGATATTCAAAGATATTTAATTCCTTCTTAATCAAATCAAGAAACTGTTTATACGTAAAATCATCAAAAAAGGGCTTTAACTTTCACCAAGAATATCACAGAAAAAAGAAGAAAGAAAGACAAAGAAATGTTCAAAATCGAGTTTTAATTCCCTTTTCTGTGACGACCGGAAGTATTGACGACGGAAAAAATGTTAATGGACAAATCTTCAAGTCATGATCTATGATATCTGACACAGTTAACTTTCATATCTTTAGCTGTTCTGGAGAAATGGACCGGACAAAGGTCATTTCCAAAATTTGGTCAATACGAAAATAGTATTACTATTATTCTTTATTGCTTAATACATACGTATTATCACAATATTATTACAAACATAATTAAGAGGAAAAAAACAGATTGGCATGGTATGGTATGGTATCAATACATGAAAAAGCAGCGCCTAGTTTATTTAATGAAGTCACTTGCTATGGCGCGTCTATACATCAAATATAACAAATTTGACTCACATAATAAATGTAAAGAAATATACTGATATAACGATTGGACAAACGAAGAATGGATCACATCTTTTCATTTCTTAACTTAAAAGCTAAATGCAAAAATTTACCTAACTTACACAGCTCAGAAAAATTTTGTACACTCAATAATTGGACTAGTTTGAATGCGGATGGTTTTTTCCAGTAGTAACTTTTGATATATTTACTTCTCAACTCCTTGTAAAGGGGACAAATTAAAACAAAATGAAATTCGTCTTCTACGATATTTTTACAAAATTCACAAAATCTAAATTCCTTTACAATATTTCTATGCCTGCCAGTTTCAATTGCAAGGTTATGGGAAGACAATCTTATTCTACTTATTTGTTTTTTATAAAGATTAGGTATTGACTTTCTTAAATAATATTGCAAGGTTAAATAATCTACAATGTGTCTGTAAAAAATACATTTTGTTGAACAATTAATTTCTGCCATGAGATTTTGTATGAAATTATTTTTTATTCTTTGTTTGATTACAGGAAATTGTTTACAAATCATTTCTCTGTCTTGTTCAAGCCAGATAAATCCGAGTCCATTCTCATAAAGTTTTTGTTTGATATTTATAACCCAATTATCAGAGTGTCTGTCGGAATATTCCCATTCATTGAACAAATATTCATAACACATTTTCAAAATACAATTGTCAGTTTTTAACAGCTTGAACCAAAATTTAAAAATGCGAAAAATGCGAACAATTTTCATAGGCAGTCTACCAGTTTCAACATAGATCATGGCAGTATTTGTGCTCCTTCTAACACCTAAAACATATTTAATAAAGTCCAAGTGTACTTTTTTAATATCACTAGCATTGTGTCCCCCCCCCCCATATTTCACAACCGTAATTCAATATGCTTGCAACATAAGTATCAAAAAGTGAAAACATTGTCTCAATATTTAGACACATTTGGTTGATTTTTGATTTTTTCGAAAACATTGCTTTTCTACCCTGGATTGCCAGCTGTTTTTGTGTATTATTAAATTTTCCATTATAATTCAAAAGTACACCGAGATATATAAACTGGTCAACAATTTCAATTGGTTCACCATTTATGTTCCAAGATAATATTTTTAGATTTTCTTGCAGTAAGCTGCATACATTTTTCTGTGTGTCCTATCTGTGCTGTACCGTTTCCCAGTCTTCGTCGTCTTCTTGATTGTCTTGGGGTTCCAACGGGTCATACTCTGCTCTGTTAATGATCAGTTTGTTTTTGATGAGTCTTGCTGTCTTGCCCCGTAACTAGCTTCATTCAGTTTTGGATATAGCTGCTTTCGCTGCTCATATATTTCTTTCGGATACTGTTCCTGGATCCTGTATGGTGTGGATGACAGCTTTGTAGCTTTTTTCCTTATCCTTTCCCTCTCCCTGAATGTGGAAAACTTAACCACGATAGGTCTCGGGTTTGTATTTTCTCGGTTAAGCTGTCCAATCCTGTGCGCTCTTTCTATCTGTTGTCTGACATTTGGAGTTTCCAATTCTGTCTCACAGAAATCGTTTATCAGTCTCACACAATTCTCCCTCCTATTTCCATTATACTCAGCTAGCCCATAGAATAGTAGGTTATTTTCCATGCTTCGGCACTTGAGATCCGTGATAGAATCCTCAATATTTTTCTGGGACTGTTTCATTTGTTCTACTTCTTTTTCCATTTCCTCAGTGTTCTTTTTCAAAGTCCCCATGGTGTTCCCCACGTTACCTGTTCACACCCTATTACCGGCAACTGTGACAACCGATGCAAAAGTGACAACAGACGGCAAAGTTATCAATCACTATGACAGAGACCTCATTGATATCATAATTTTGACTATTTATAACATTCATTTACTTTCTTTTTGTGGTTTACCGTTTTGATCTAACCTTAAACTATTTTTCTGTTAAATATAAAACTTTGATTCCTTATTGAAACAAAATAAGAACAAAATAAAGCTAAATTTCAATCGCTATGCAGGGAAAATTGGTCAGATTGAGCTTAAATGATAAAAACTGCTATACTTTGGTCACATTTCTTGTTGGATATATTAAATTTAGACTTTCTGAGGCATAACTTCAAAATATGGATAATTTTTGTTGCTTAATAAAAGCGCCACAAGCGTTTAATTTTGTTTGGTGAAATCATTTTGGCTATCGTGTACAACAGACGAGGCAAACAATGACAGCAGATTTAAAACGAAATACGTCAATCAGAAACAGTGGATACAAAGTTGAATAAAGTATAAATTAGCTGTATCCTGGTAAGCATCAAATTTCCTGAAGACATATTTTGGCTGTTAATATTGGTCACATGTATGGTACTTGCTATCACAGGTATTTATGGACATGTATCCATCCCCCACGAGATTTAAAAAAAAAACTCATCGTAAAGATCTATTTTTTTATTTTCCTATTATACACATGATGAATAAGTGTAATAAATATAATTTGTGGAAAAAATGTCCATTAAGCCCTGGGGTTTTATATCGGAGGGGGTGGGGTGTTCCTGTCCACAGGTACCTGTGTTTGTATACAACAGCAACTGAATCAAACTATTATTCGATAATCAACATGTTTTACTAAGACGGTCCATTGGTGAATGTTCGTAATTTTGCTTTCCAACGATAGGGAACGAAGAATGGATATTTGGAACTGTGAAATATCAAGGACCACACTAAAGTACCTACAAGTAAAGTATTCAAAAATAATAAAAATATTAATCATTATGTAAAAGTTTTATGTACTAGTAGTTATAAACTTGGTTTTTTAATAAAATTGCTAAAAGGGGCATTCCTTACGAAGCTGTTATGTTTAATGCAGACTTCAGCATAAAATTGTACACAGTAAGAGTGTTCTTGCAGATTATTGTCGCTAGCTGCGATGTTGCGATCAAAATAGCTGCAGATCTGTAGCGTTATGGTTTTATATATTTGTCTTTGACCATAACGCTACAGATCCCGTAATGCAAAAAAGGTACAATTTATGGCGCAATATTTTTTGCGCACTTTTGGGGAAAATTTCTCCACTTTCAAGCATTGGTCAATCAACTACCTTTCACTACCCAATACTTGAAATATTCGTAGCCAAAATGTATATTTTATTCACCTCCCAACCATTTATAGTTGTCTCTTCAGGCAATAAACTTGCTTGAAGTGAATTTTCAACAACCTAACAAATAATTTTAATCAAGCGAGTTTATCACTTAAAGAGACGAGTATAAAGGGTTTGGGAGATGGATAAAACATACAAATTACTGAAATTAGTTCAATAATGTGCCTAGAATAAGGGAGTGAAAGATAAATGATTGACCAATGCTAGATAGTGGAGAAATTCTCCCCAAAGGTGCTCAAAATATATTGTGTTGATTATCGAATAATAGTTTGATTCAGTTGCTGTCGTATACAACCACAGGTACTTGTGGACAGGAACACCCCACCCCCTCCGATATAAAACCCCAGGGCTTAATGGACATTTTTTCCACAAATTATATTTATTACACTTATTCATCATGTGTATAATAGGAAAATAAAAAAAAAATAGATCTTTACGATGAGTTTTTTTTTTAAAATCTCGTGGGGGATGGATACATGTCCATAAATACCTGTGATAGCAAGTACCATACATGTGACCAATATTAACAGCCAAAATATGTCTTCAGGAAATTTGATGCTTACCAGGATACAGCTAATTTATACTTTATTCAACTTTGTATCCACTGTTTCTGATTGACGTATTTCGTTTTAAATCTGCTGTCATTGTTTGCCTCGTCTGTTGTACACGATAGCCAAAATGATTTCACCAAACAAAATTAAACGCTTGTGGCGCTTTTATTAAGCAACAAAAATTATTCATATTTTGAAGTTATGCCTCAGAAAGTCTAAATTTATTATATCCAACAAGAAATGTGACCAAAGAATAGCAGTTTTTATCATATAAGCTCAATCTGACCAATTTTTCCTGCATAGCGATTGAAATTTAGCTTTATTTTGTTCTTATTTTGTTTCAATAAGGAATCAAAGTTTTATATTTAACAGAAAAATAGTTTAAGGTTAGATCAAAACGGTAAACCACAAAAAGAAAGTAAATGAATGTTATAAATAGCAAAATTATGATATCAATGAGGTCTTTGTCATAGTGATTGATAACTTTGCCGTCTGTTGTCACAGTTGCATCGGTTGTCACAGTTGCCGGTAATAGGGTGTGCTGTTATTTTCTTTAGATTGTTGATGTCCGATTCAAAGGTATTTAACCGTTGCGTAATTCCCGAGATTTCTCTATGTATGTCATCAACCTTGGCTAACTTTTTATCAATCTGCAATAGTTTGTCAAATATTTCATCAACCCATTTTGGTTCATTAGGGATTGGAGACTGTTTGGATTTGTATGGGCGGGGGGAGGCGTCATGAATTCACTTACACGAACCTGACTTTCTACTGTTTTTTTGTGTATCATTTCCTGATTTTTTTTTCGCTAATATCCATTTCACATTTCTCAAAACCATCTTCATCATTGCCACTACCTGTATTCACATCGTCTATACCTTTATTCGTGCTGTGTATTTCGACAGACTCATCGTGACCACTGTCCGCCATGACAGATGTAATCACCCCTTTGTTTGGACTAATATACGTTTTATGACGAACACACTTTGTTGGGTTACTATTTTTGGAATATTACAAATTGTCGCATAGGTTCACGTCAGAAAATGGCTGACGCAAAATAATTCCTGAATTTTCCTCTTTAACTCGAGCAAACCTTGCATTGAACAGGGCTGATGTTTGTTATGAGATGATAAAACATGTGTAAACTTTCTTAGTTCAGCGGAATCATGGACAATTTAGGCGATATGAATGTTTTGTTTACTGTAGCGGGGAGGGCATCGCGCAGCTATTGGAGCGGATCCAAGGATTTATGAATGAATAAAAAAGATGGAAATAAAGTTTGATTTCTTCTGTATTATTCAATGACATTATTCATTTGCAAGTAATAGATATATACAAGAAAACGCGAAATGCTAATAAATGCAGCTGAAAATCTTTATTTTCTCAAGATAAAAAAATTAAATTAAATAATTATAAATTCTACATACAAAACATAGGAAGAATGAATGATGGAAAGTTATCAGATGACATCAGGGGAACTGATTTTTATGAATGAAACTTTTAAAACGTTACCTGTACATTGTAGATGTTATATCTGCGAAGTCTACCTGTCTGCGCTTTTCCGGGAGGGGGGGGGGCAGGTTTCTTGAATATAGACTTGTAAATTACCATTATTTTGTAGAAAGAATTAAGCCTTATCATTTTCTTTACTTTAAGAAGAGTGTCTTGTTATGTAAATGTCAAGGTCAGTTTATGTAGAATGTAAAAATTAAAGCTGAATTGGCATTCATTTCAATATGTGAGAAAGGTTCGGGATAGGTCTTTTACAGTTCACAAAAAAGAAATGGGGGGGATAAGATGAACACATATAATATATTCAATATACACACTTTATTTACTAAAATCTGGTCTCAATTGAACCAGGGAAGTTTTTCTACAGGTCCTTTTGCCATCTTTTTTTTTTTTTTTTTTTTTGATTAAAATAATTTATTCAATAAGTCAAATACATATTACATAATATGTACATTTTAAAACAATTATATAAACAATAACAAGTTACTTCACCGACAAAGTATAAGTTAAAACATGAATGGAATCAACATTGTTTTGTCTTTAAATTGATTTTACTGGATGTACGTAATTATTGCGGAATATGAATTCAATTGATGTACATAAAATATTATTCATATATTAATACTGAAAGACAAATTATATCAATGGACATATATTGTAAAAGAAATATTAAAACGAATGGACATAGTAGATTGTGTTTGTTACGATGGAATTTACGTTATGGATTTATGAATGGAACAAAAACCGGTTAAACAGGTATCACAAGTAGTACAGGTAAACATTAAATTCCAATGTTAAAGTCAAGGTTATCATTGTTAACAGAGCAAAACAGAGAAGTACGTAACCAATATGTGTAAAATTTAGCTTCATCAAATCTATAAAAGTCAGCTTTTATTCTAAGGATCAATTTATTTATGAACATCAAGATTAATCTATCTGAGTTAATATTTTTTTTCTCATAGCTAACTATGCATCTAACTTGCCAAATTGTGGTGCACATCAAGGATATTAAATATAAACACACAGATTTAATCTCTTTGTTAAAAATATCTATTGGGAAAGTATGAAAACGGATATGCGCAATGTTAAAACGTGAAAATTTATCTTTTGTTATTACATTTAACCAATTTTTAACAAGCATAACAAGTGGTTTCACAAATGTACATTCATAGAAGAGATGAGAAACAGTTTCAATATGAGTTTTACACAATGGACATATTTTTTCTTTACAAATTCTGATTGTATGTAAATAATATGTAACAGGTATAACATCGTGAATAATTCTGAACATAACATCCCTGCAATGTTTATCTATAAAATCATTGTACAAAAGTCAGAAAACCTCTTTAAAATCAACACTTGGAAAAATCTTAATGATTCTTGGTTTAGTTATAACCTCTTCTAATAAAATTGTACAATATTGCTTAGTTGTCATATTGCCAAATAAATAATCGCAATTATCATTTTTTATTTCTAAAAACTCTTTCAAATCTTTCTGACAATTTTGATAAAAAACAGGAATTGTCTCTGAATGA